CACTCCCTCGACCTGCTGGCAATGCTCCTCCTGATGCAGGCCAGGATCCCATTGGCCTTCTTGGCCACGAGGGCACATTGGTGCCTCATGGTTAACTTGTTGTCAACCAGGACTCCCAAATCCCTCTCCGCAGAGCTGCTTTCCAGCAGGTTAACCTCCTAATCTGTACTGGCGCCTAGGATTATTTCTCCCCAGGTGCAGGACCCTGGACTTGCCCTTGTTGAATCTCATGAGGTTCCTCTCTGCCCAACTCTCCAACCTGTCTAGATCCCTCTGAATGGCAGCACAGCCCTTGGGAGTGTCGGCCACTCCACCCAGTTTGGTATCATCTGCAAACTTGCTCAGGATGACTCTGTCCCCTCATCCAAGTCACTGCTGAACAATCTGAACAGCTCTGGAGCCAGTACTGACCCCTGGGGGATACCACTGGCCACAGGCATCCGACTAGACTTGGCCCCATTTAAGAATACCCTCTGAGCTCTACCATCCAGCCAAACACATCAGCAGAGCTGCAGCATCATCTAAGAGCCCAGAATTCCATGACACATGCAGATCTCAGCAAAGTTGGGGTGCATTCCTGTAAACCATGATATACCCTCCAGATGAGATCTAGAGGGAAGCAAGTTGGTAGGAAAGTTTTCCTTATCCAGTAGGCCACTTTAGAGTGAGCTAAAAGACTAACAATGGGCAGAACTCTAACATGAATCTTTAGCAGCTGACATTTTACCAAAGCAGCACCTCAGACCCTGCAGCAGGGTGTGGTATGGCGTGGGTGGGCGCTTGTCCTGAGGTTAGCCAGGCCCAGGAGCCCTGCTGTGCCTCGTTCTCTTTGACACTCCCAGGAGTGCAGGCCACCAAAGACCACTCAAGCGCTGTGCAGCTCGGCTCGTCTATCTATAGGCTAACACTGGCAGCTCATATGTAAGCTAGGAGCTGAGATGGGGAATACTAGGAGACACAAGCCAGGGAACTCGGGGGAAACACTCCCACTGCTTGGTCGTTGTCCATAACCTATTTCTGGCATGGTTTGGATCACATGTGATAATATGACACCTTACAGTCTGACAAGACAATCCCAGTTTTGTCAAGATGTCCAGGACAGGTCAAAGACAATAGTCTCAATTTTTGAATGGTGTTCTTCAGTAACTCTTGCATCACTACCTGCTGTTGTCACTGGCTGCTGAGCAAGGATATGAAGAGTACTTGCCGCTCCAGGCATCTTATTTGCTGAATAACTACTGGAGATTTTTAAAGAGCTGGTGCTGTGGAACTGGTGCTCTTCAGTCTGGAAAAATCACTAGGTCCTCTGATATATGACATCTGACCTACCCTACTCAATCCAGTCCCTGAACTATAGTCAGTCCAAATGGGACAACCTTTGCTCAAGTCTTGGTAACTCTCACCACAAACTTCTTGGGCATTAGGGAATGGAAGCTTGGGAATTACACCAGGCACTGGCCACAAGACCAAATATCCCAAACAGAAAAGCAGTGGCCCGAAAAGATCAATCAGTTACACACAACAAAAGGAAATGCAAAAGGATAGGAGCAAACAGTGCTATTGATTGTGTCATATAACTCGTGTTTGATTGAAAAGCATCTTCAGTATAACCTGAAAGAACACTTACTCACTGCCCCAGAGACTGTATCTGGGGACACATTTAACTGCCATAAATCTGTGAGACCAAATAAATGGTCTACATGCTTGTACTGACTGCCATCACACTACGAGCTTGCAAAAGTGATACAGAGAGTACACCCTAACTGACTTCACTTTTATTTTAAGAGTTTCTAAGGAATGAGGCTAAATAAAAATTCTATAGACAGAAGTCCTTGGTATGATGAGGCATATCAGCACAGACCATTTGGTTTTGTTAGCCATACCCAGAAAGAAGGATTTCCTTACTCAACACAAGGTAAGTAGAGCAGGGAGCTGCTGGAAGATATAAATGAGGGATCTAAAAATGAGGGACAGCCAAGGGGACAAGAGCAAAACACAGAACTCTTCTGACAGAAGTGTCAGGCCATTCAGTCTGGGAAGAAGCAGTCCAATAATTGCTCACATTAACGAGTTGGAAACGATTTGTAAATGTTCACGGGAGTGTTGCGAAAGCTTCTGCAGACAGCTCAGGGGAGACTTCTGCTTTGTGAATGGCAGAAGCCAAAATCGGCCATGCAAAGCAACTGGCTCCTGTGCTGATCATGAGGTGATGACAGCATTGAAATCGCAAACACAACAGCATTTACAGAATGCAGCTGCCTGCCAGCACATCCAGAATGGAAGAAAGGGTCAATTCCCTTGCTGCAAATACAACTGATTGAAGAAAAAAAATGCAACAAATGGGAAAAAATGACAGGAAGCATAAGAGGTAGGCGATTATGCATAAAAGAGTATAGGTCACTTCCACCACTGGGGTAACTCTCTACTGCAGGCATCCAGGATGCAGTTAGCCAAAAAAACATTTAACAGAGGAAAGTAAGAAGAGATCAGCATGAAATATAACTCCACACAAAACATATCCATCCCAGGCGGCAGCCTGGAAATGTGTGCTGCAATTGTACTAGTTCCTTTTATAAGGCTGCTTAATCTTGGGATCATTTACATTTGCAGCTCTGCCACATCAGATAAGAGCAGTGAGGCTACCAATAGATTGCAAGAGGGATTGGGAAGAAATGTTAATCCCAGGCCCTCTGCTCCCACGTTGCACAGTTGGTGAGGTGCATCATTGCGGGTGGAGCAGCTCTCCCCATATTGTCAGAGCTGTGGTATTGGATTTCCATACCCCAGTGATTTGAGACACGATGACAAATCTCATGTTGCACAATTCGACCAAACTACGTGGGTATCTGGTATAAATATACACCTTGTCATCTGCTACACTGCTTAGGAAGCTTGATTGCCTTTCTGCTCAACCTAGTGAGGAAGGCTGTAGCTGGCAGCCTTCCTCCTTTCTACTTCCTCTTCTCCTGTGGATCAGGCTAGCCAGGAACCAGAAAGTGCAGAAGGTGAGGGGTCTGCAACAACATTTTTCGAGGAGTTAAGAAC